TCTATCTATCTATCTATCTATCTATCTATCTATCTATCTATCTATCTATCTATCTGTCAGCCTTATTTTTTTGTCAACGTCATATCTTTAGCAGCTTTTTTTTGGTGGTAGTTACAATGTCTGGTTTGGTTACAATCTATTTATTTTCCAGTATGCCTACTTGTATCAACCAACAGATTATTGTTTTTAACGTGCATGTCCAATTTTACAAGCACCTTTTTCATTGATTAAACTCTATCCAAGCTTTGGTGTAATCTATAAATCTTAAATCAGCCTGGCCATCCTAATTTCTTTAGTAACTGTATTGTCTGTCGTTACACTTCCAGGTTTTATCTGAATCTATTTGTTGAAATATGACTAGTTGTTACAACTAACAGATAATTATTATGTTTCTTAACGAGGGTGTCCAATTTTACAAGTACATGAATGAATTTGGGATCAGCCTTATTTCTTTGTCATTCTTACATCTTTAGTAAATTTTTTTTCGGTCGTTACACTCTCAGTTTTGTTATAATCTACTATTTTTGTCTGTATGTCTACTTGTACCAACCCAAGGATAATTGTGTTTTTCTCAAGATGGGTGTCCAATTATACAACCACTTTTGTTCTGGCTAGAGTGTACCCAAGCTTAGTCGTTACCTTTGAGCATGGAATCAGCCTTATTTCATTATCAGCCTAACATCTTTAGTAACATTAAAATGTTATGTATATCGTTACACTCTCGAGTTTGGTTATGAATTAATTTATTTTCCAGAATGCCTACTTGTATCCGCCAACAGATAATTGTTTTTAACGTGTATGACCAATTTTACAAACACTTTTGTACTGATTAAACCCTAATCAAGTCTAAAGGCAATCTATGAATCTGGATTCAGCCTTATTTCTTTGTCATCCTAATATCTTTAGTAACTTTATTGTCAGTCGTTACACTTTCAGGTTTTATCTTCATCTATTTGTCTAAATATGTCTAGTTTTAACAACTAACAGGTAATTATGTTTTTCAACGTGAGTTGCAATGTTAGAAGTACCTTTATACTGGTTAAAATGTATTCAAATTTAGTAGAGATCTAGGAATCTGGGATCAGCCTTGTTTCATTGTCAACCTCATGCCTTTAGTAGCTTTTTTGTCGGTCGTTACACGTTCAGTTTAGTTATAATCTATTTATTTTTCGAGTATGCCTACTGATATCAACAAACAGATAATCAATTGTGGGTCTTTTAACGTGCGTGTCCAATTTTACAAGCACTTTTGCTTTTTTGTAGAACTGTAACTTTTGTTTTGACTAAACTCTGGAATCAGCTTTATTTCATTGCCAGCATAATATGTGAGGCAGCGTGGTGGAATCAGGCTCTCGTCAATTTTTGGACACGTAGAGTTATTGGTATCATCTTAAAGCGTATTCACTTGTCTTTATTAGGATGAAAAAATAATACACATTGATCTGAATACAAGTCGAGATATTTGCGAAAGAAGGAGGTGGGGGTCACCTGTTTTCAGGGGTAAAATTAAAGAGAAAATGGCCGCCAAACATTAGTTATTTCCTTAGCTTAAGAGTCCGTGGTAACTGAAAATTTACATTTTTTGAGCCTTTAATCAACGTTTTTCAGAAAAATCCAAACAGAAATGAGTTCTTTAATGGGAATGAAAGGTGTTGAGCCAAAAAACAAAAAGTTGATAAAAATTCACAAACCTGCGGAAAAAAATACAAGTTTCTTCACTTTAATTATTTTGACGAGAGCCTGATTCCATCACGCTGCCTCAAATATTATATAATAGTACCTTTGGATGTCGGTCTTTACATTCTGATGTTTGATCACAATCTATTCATTTTTCAGTAGGGCTGGTTGTAACAACCAACAGATAGATCTAATCGTGCTTTTCAAGATGGGTGTTCAATTTTGCAAGCACCTACTGACTTAAGTCTATCCAACCCTATTTGTGACCCATGAAGTTGGGATCAGCCTTATGTTTTTGTTATACCAATATCTTTAGTAACATTTTATGTTGGTCGTTACCCTCTCACGATTGGTTATAATCTATTTCCCTTTCAGTATGGCTTGTCGTAACAATCAACATGTCATTATGTTTGTGTTTTACAACGTAAGTGAGTGTACAATTTTACTTGCTCCTATCTTCTGACTATACTCTATCCAAACCAGGTTGTGGTCCATGAATCTGGAATTAGTCTTAGCTCAAGCTGGCCCTGACAGGCAGGGTCGATATCCTGCTTCCTGAGTGATTTAAAATGTGCGGATGGGGGCGTGGAAATGCCTGTCTTTTTAGAAATTATTCCCAGTTCAGTACTCACGATTGACGTGTAGATGACAGCGACGGTTGAGATGACGACGACAGAGCTCCACAGAGGGACACCGGTCACTGCCGTGTGTGTGGACGTGACGTCATGTGTTAGTGGACAATGGGGTCAAAGGCGTAAAGTAATTATTGGGTTATCATTGATAATTAACTATTGGTGGTTTTACTTCAACTATCAAAATGATACGTGTACGCAAAATAAGCAAGTAAAATTTAACTCCCCTCTCCCCACGTCCAAAACAGGTACACACACACACACACACACACACACACACACACACACACACACACACACATTCCCACACAACACACACAAACACACACATATACCCCTACACACACAAACACACACACACACAGACACACACACACCAGGCGTACACTCATATCCACATACACACATACAACAAAACTCTGACACACTTACACATAATATTTTACATTCACTGCCCCGTCCCCCCACCCCCTGGTCACAACATTTCCTTATTTCCAACACGCCCCCTCCCCCAGGCACACAAACATCTTCTTTCCAACCCGTCTTAATAATACTCAGAAAACAAAAAACAAAAACATCTGAAATTAATTGGGACATTAAAACACCTGTATTAAAATTTTCAAAAATTAGGACAAAATATGTTGTGTTCCTCACCTTTTCGTAAAAAAACAAAGCCCATTTTTGCCTTTAGAGAGAAATACATGCAATTATTGGCTCAAACCTAGGCAGAGAGACCCAGAACTCTATATAGATCTAGGAGCCCGGAGAACCTGCGGCGAACAGCAGCCTTCGCACTAGAGACTGGGATGTCCATTCAGAGAAGAACCAGCGGAAGAAGAAAAAAATGCTGGAGTTTTTGTACCAGCAGCCTCCGCTTTTATTTATTTATTAAAATTTTTTTTTTTTTTTTTTTTTTTGGGGGGGGTGTAAGTGTGTTACGGCGCTCGCAACAGCATAAGATCATTTGTGCACGGGGGGCACAGTTTTGTAGAATTTGTTTTGAATTTTCCCCTGGTGGTTGTTATCGATTTTAGGACCATTAGAGGATCTTTAACGTGCGCAACTTGCACACAGGACCTCCGAGATATTTTCGCCTTTAACCGAGAAGGCAAGGTGTTCGATCTTACCTACCCTAAGATCAAGGTGGTGGCTGAAAGACAGCAGTATGAAGGAGCCAATGAGTAGCAGTAGGAAAGCAGCCGAAAGAGCCAGGAGCCCAGAGGAAGTGGCAAAGAAAGGGGGAGGGGGAGAAAGTGAAGACGAAAGCAGACGACAGAACGTGATTAAAGGTCAAGAAAGGAGGTGAAAGAAAAAAAAAAATTGAAGATAATTTCCCGTCGCTGTCAAGATCTGAATCCGTGACCCATTGAATCAGAGGCGAACAATATTATTATATAACCTCTAGACCACTAATCTTCTGGCGCTCATATGACCTTATGCAGTTGCGAGCGCAGTAAAACCTCTACTAAAACTAAAACTAAAACACATACAAAATGTATTTCCAAGTAGGCTCCTGACTCTTTCTGCAGCCTTTCTACTGCTACTCCTTGGCTCCTCCTTACTGCTGTCTTTCTGCCACACCCCTGATCTTCTGGTAGGAAAGATCTACACCTAGCCTTCTCGGACAAGGGCAAAAAATCTCGGAGGGCCTGTGTCCCAGTTGCGCACGTTAAAGATCCCTTGGTGGTCTATAATCGATAAGAGTAGGCTTCGGCCGCCACCCTGGCAAAATTCAAATTTTCCTACCAACTGAAAATATTAGGTGTGTCCTGCGCGCTCATATGACCTTATGCAGTTGCGAGCGCCGTAAATACACTTACCAAAACAAAAACAAAACAAATCTCACCTGCTTCTAGCGCCACAGCCGGGCCGAACAGCACGATTCCCATGTACCAGACCTGGGGGAGGCCAAGGAAATCTCATTATAATATAAGTACATACTATATAGTGCTCTAGTTAACACAATCATTTAGTTATAATATAAGTACATACTCTAGCTAACACAATCATTTAGTTATAATATAAGTACATACTATAGAGAGCTCCAGCTGACACTATCATTTAGTACTGTTGATACCAATCAGGGGACGTTAATTTGTTGAGAAAAGGCAAAAGGCAACAATACGCCCCCTACAAAAAACCCAAAACAAACAAAAAAGCAGACAAAACAAAACATAACAAACAAAACAAAAAACAACCCCCCCAAAAAAGGTTATATCTCAGGGGTGCACTAGGGATGTCTGAAAAGTCAGATGAAAATGGCCACTGAATAAAGTATGTACACGTCAGTAACAACATTAATTTAGTTCAGTCTTAGTAAGAAGTTTACTGCACTTGTAAGAAAAGTAGATAATAAAAGTTTCAAAGATTTGAGGGGTTACTAGATCTAGATAGTAACATACTAAGAAAAAGAGAAATAAAGACTATGGATTCAGACGCACCTTCTTAAGAATCTCTTTGTATCATTAATAAATCTACACAACACTGTATTCAAGTCTTCCCACTACCCGGGGCGATGTTACTGACTGAGGTGTCTTTATGCCATGTCCAAAGGGGAGACATTAACATGTCCTTAGGCTCAGTAAAAATTGTAAATGGGCTGACTCATCAATGTCATGCTCATAACTGTACCTGAACTGCACACGGGGAACTGCTGCTTTTTCTTTCCAAATCCTTACTACCGTCATTTTGCCTCTATCTCTTTTGTATGAACTGTAAACTGCTATTTCTGGGTGCCTTGATAGTCGAAGCAACTTTGTGCAGTTGAAACTAAGGAGGTGAGCAGAGTAAGTCTGATTCCCCGTTTGGACTTCTCTGTTGACATCCACCACTTGGCGCTCTTATGATCTTATGCAGTTGTGAGCGCGGTAAAAACTCTTATAAAACTTTTTTTTTAATTCAAGTTTTTAGTATTCTTTCTGCAGTAAAACAATGATGATGTTGACAATGATGATGATGATGATGATGAGTCAAAAATTGACATTTGTCATTTATTTGTTTTCTCTTGTCCTGAGACAACGAGTGACGTCACCACCAGCGGGCGACAGTTGTCTCTGTGTGCTGTGAGTGCGTTCTCTGTGTGTTGTGTGTGTGTGTGTGTGTGTGTTCTCTGTGTGGTGTGTGCTTTTTATGTGCGTGTTGTGTGTGTGTGTGTGTGTGTGTGTG